AAGCTTATCCGCATAGACCAATGACTTTACATAGCCCCACAGAAAATAGTCTAGCGGTGTTAAGTCACAAGAACTTGGAGGCCAATTCACAGCTCCAAAACGTGAAATTAGGCGGTCACCAAACGTGTCTTTCAATAAATCGATTGTAGCACGAGCTGTGTGACATGTTGCGCCGTCTTGTTGGAACCACAGCTCCTGGACATCATGATTGTTCAATTCAGGAATGACTGTAACGTTCTGGCCATCATCGTTTTTGAAGAAGTACGGACCAATGATTTCACCAGCCCATAAAGCGCACCAAACAGTCAGTTTCTCTGGATGTAACGGTGTTTCGACATAGATTTGAGAATTAACTTCACTCCAAATGCGGCATTTTTGTTTGTTGACGTAGCCATTCGACCAGAAGTGCGCTTCATCGCTAAACAAAATTCGCTTATGAAAATCTGGAACAACGGCAGTCTCGTTTTGGGCCCATTGAACGAATCTACACCTTGCTTGATGATCGTTTGGCTTCAATTCTTGCACGAGTTGTATTTTGTAAGCATGCAAACCAAGATCCTTACGTAAAATCTTCCATAAATTGAATGGACACAGATCCAATTCCTGTTCTCGATGGCGGATGGACTCATTCGGGTCTTCCTCAATGTTACGCTCTACAGTAGCAATAGCTTCATGGTTAAACGAATTAACTGCTCTGATGGACGATTTTGTCGACGATAAAATGGACGTAGTGCGCGATACGTATTCCGCACAGAACCATTATTGTCGAAATAAAACTGCACAATTTGCAAGCGTTGTTCAAGCGTGAGTCTATTCATGACGAATTGCCAAACCAAACTGAGAATAAATCACTTGACAGCTGTCAAATCGGTCGCCATTTTCAATAGTAATGCCAATTTGAAGTTCTATACCTCGAAAAAAAAACACCCGTTACAAAGAAAACAGCATGAATAAACAAAAACAAACTAAAAATATTAGGCATTGCCTATGTATGGACCAATAATTTCAAGCGGCAACTGTAGAATGCAAATTATGAAAAAAGAGGTTATGAATTTACTTCATGTTCGTATTTACGAGCTTATGGATCTCAGTCCTACAGTATATTCAGATAAGAGATAGACCGGATGTAAACAAAAGGTTCGGGAGATTTTCACGCTAACGCCGCCGTCTCGACGTAAAACAGGAGCCCTCATTGGTCAATTCGCAATTAAATGCCTATGCCGAGCGGCAGAGCAGTCGTATCAAGGCAGAGTCACATTCAGGTTCAGACGTGTTACGTATGTCGTGTGCATCATTGCAATTTGATATTTCTTTGGACGTTTTCGTTTGTTATCTTATTAAGTTGTTGAGTTTGTCGTTGTTATTGTTATACCTTGTTATAATTATAGGCTAATTTAAACGCCATTTTGAGATTATATTCGACTGTATTTCACCAAACATCAGACGGCATCCGAAGCTGGAAATCGAAGCGAAAATTTTGAAACCCTTATGTATATTTACATCATTATATATTTCTCACCCCACCCCCACATGATCCTATATCCATCACCAATCGTATACACATCGAATTGTGCTAATTTACTACAAAGTTACGCAAAGCAGCATCTACTATCTAAAATATGTACTGCGTGACTCTTAATACGTCCCTGCCGAATGTTACAGCGTTCGATGATCACGTGGTCTTGTTTATGTCCGGTCTATCTCTTATCTGAATATACTGTAGATATAGAATGTGGTCGCATTTCAAATGTAAATCTTTTAAATGTTTAGCTATAATTTCATAAAATTTTGGCGCTAAATAGAGATGGTCGCTGCATTATACAGGGTGTTCCTTAATGATATGCGAATATTTAATGACGTGAATCTACATGAAAAATTAATGTTAGTTTGATTATAAACTATGTTCCAAAAATGTTTCCTTACAAAAAAGTTTTAGAAAATAAAATGGAAATTAATTAATATTTTCAGAACCGCTTCATATATTTCACTGATATTTAGTACGTAGTGAAAGTTAATAAAGTTGCATATTTTTCAATGCAAAAATAATTTTCAGCTTTAACAGTGGCGTGCGTACGAGTAATGACTGCGATATTTTTTAAGAAAAAAATGGTACGCCAATGGTTTTTTGCCAAATAAAAAATATTTTCGAATTCCCCGTTCAATTTAAGACAAACGATCTCTTTTGAACTGTTTTCCTTCGATGCGCTATTTTTGGGTAAAAAAATAAAAACCGTTCTATTGTCCGAGAAAATTAATGTAATTGCTCTGGAATATGTCACTGGCCTTTGACATCTGACAAGTCTCTGTTATTCAAATCTGTTCGCTGTGACATCTTTGTCATTATTTAGTTTTTACAATCTTGTTAATAATGGTGAATTATTCAAATGCAGAAATGGCGGAAATGCATTACGTATATGGCCTTGCCGACTGTAATGGTCAGCAAGCCAGACGGATTTATCACCAGAGATATCCCGATCGTGCTTTACCAGATAGTCGAACCTTTTCTAATATAAAATAAAACGGTTTTTATTTTTTACTCAAAAATGGCGCATCGAAGGATAACAACTCAAGAGAAATCATTTGTTTTAAATTGAACGGGGAATTCTAGAATAATTTTTATTTGACAAAAAACCATTGGCGTACCAATTTTCTTGAAAAATATCGAAGTAAATACTCGCACGCACGCTACTGTTAAAGCTAAATATTATTTTTGGATTGAAAAATATGCAAATTTATTAACTTTCACTACGTACTAAATATCAGTGAAATATCTAAAGCGGTTCTGAAAATATTAATTAATTTCCATTTTTTCCTAAAACTTCAACACCCAGTGTTTTTGTAAGAAAGCATTTTTGTACCATAGTTTATAAAGCAAAGTAACATTAATTTTTCATGTAGATTCTCACCCTTAAATATTGCATATAATTAAGGAACATTCTGTATATTTATTTTGCTGATTAACTACAGTCCGAACTTTTTTAATGACAAATTTATGGTAGTGAGTGATAATGTGTAAGAAATAAAGCTGTCTTATATCATGCATTTGTACATTTTTCCGTTTCGGTTTTTTCAACAGCATCTTTAAAATACTTTTTTGAAAAACATCTATATTAGGGTGTTTTCAAGGTTGAGTCATTTATTTTAACAAAAACTATCTACATAAAAGTTGCATAATAAAGAGAGTTTGCTTACATTATATAATATACGAAAATATTTTTCAGTCAGCATGTTCGATACAAATCTAACTTTCTTCAAAATATATTTAAAATATAATTAGACCATAACATCATTTCCTTGCCCTACTCGTAATACCGTCCATCTGGCAACGTCGTGTCACCTCCCCCTAATATCTGAAAGCATGGTGCGTCACACGCGGCAAAGCTGTCGCAGAGCACGAGTTATGCAGGACACATACGAACACCAGCACGTCGTCCGCGGTCGTTGAAGTCAGTAGACGCAGGGGCGGTTGATGCGGAGAATTATCGAGGTTGTAAATGTATTATCATACTAATCCCCGAAATTTGTATCCCTAAAATGTTTTCAAAAGTGATCAGGGTCATCTGAAACGTCAAAAAACGAAGATTGAGCGATTTTTATTTGTTTTTCACCTTTTCGTCAGCTGCAGCTGGACCGATTTTCAAAAACTACGAAGCTTTTTCGTCCTAGACATAGTAGAACCTTTTGTAGAAGTTCCATCAAAATCCGATCTGTACTTTTATGTCGTATTTATAGCATCCAAAATATATAAAGTTTTGTCTCAAAAAAAAGAAATTTACTTAAACGCCAGCTAGTTATCAAGAGAGATTTGATTCGTATGTTCATTTTACGAATTCCGGATGCTTGAAAATTTTGCAGGCAGCAATATGTTGAACATTAACAAATCCTAATAGGCCTAAACAATTTTTCACTACGATATTATACAGGGTGACTTCGAAGTTGAGTCATTTATTTTAGCAGTGAGTAGATCTGATCAAAAGAAATGTTTTTTTCCTTTACCATTTTTCTGGTAAAATTAAAGTAACAAAGTTATAGCCCTTTGGAAGTTTGAGTACCGCTCTGTCTCAATAATAATAGTATGTGCTCGTGTTTGGCAACAACGGATATAATCCGCCTTATCGGTTCATCGCATCGGAAACAAAAAAGCGAAAGAATTTGGAACGATGTTTTTACAATTATTTTATTCAGTTGTATACAGTTATACAGTCAGGGTCAGTCGGTAACGCGTGAGTGAATAGTGGTGTCTGTTGCGTGGCTCAAACGAAATAAAAAATGGCACATGTTTACGAAAATGCTGAACTTGTGGACATGATTCTTATTTATGCGGCATCACGGATTTATGCGGATCGGTTTCCCAATCGAGTGCAACCAACCCCTCGTGCCTTTGTTTATGTAGTACAAAGGGCTTGTGAATCAGGTGACTTAAGACCTCACAGGGGAGTTCATGCCGGTGCTCCAAGACCGCACGATCAAATACAGGTCCGCACTGAAATACTTGTCGGGAGGATACTCTATAAAACAAGGTAACATTTTTTTTTTAATTTTTTTTTTTATTTTTACACACATATTTTGGTTTATCTTCCTTCTACAATCATTATCTGAAAATTAATGACTCAACTTCAAAGTCACCCTGTATAAGTATCCAAATGAGAATGATTTTAAATAACTTTAAATCCTCAAAAAAAATTTTTTTGATGCATCGATTGATTAATCTCCACATGAATGTTGCATGAATCATCGGAAAACAAATTTATTTGGTGAACGAAAAAAGTTATTGTCGCAGCACCAATTAAATATTAAATATGTAAAAAACAGCTAATAAATTTCCAAGGAAAACAGCTGTACAGTTTATACAAACAGATGTCACACGGCTTCAACATTCATTATAGGAAATTATATAATTAAAATACCTAACAGAAAAATGTTGTACTAGGAAATGCAAAGACATGTCATCAAAATCCTGTAATATTTAGTTAGGGCACTGTGTTTTATTTGTGTTATGCTTTTTTTGTAGACACTTCAGACTTGATAAAAAAGATGTCTGATGATTTCAATAGACACCGTCTAACAGGTATGTATTCATTTCTTCCAAGCATGCGTCTTTCATCTAAATTATTCGCATATATGCATGAAATACACGTAAATGTATGCTAACATTCTTTCCACAACATATGACTATCTACTCCTACTTCTTTCAATGCTGAGAGTATTCACGCCGCAACTCAAGACCTAATCTACAAAAACTGCTCGAAGATATCTCCACCATGTTGAATACACAGCTGTGGTCTTTGGATAAATGACCGATGCACATCCCTCAGCATGTGTTCCCTTATGTTCAGAAAAGCATCCTTAACCTTTCCTTCATATTTTCCGTGGTAAATGGTGGATATCTATGAACCTCTTGTTTAACGTAGCCCCATAGAAAGAAGTCCATCGGTGTCATATCTGGTGATCTAGGAGGCCAAGATATAGGCCCATCACGATATTGGATCATTTTTTACATATCATATAGTATCTCCTGCTGTATTCAATATGCCACACTGGATACTTGTACAAGCATCGACATAACTTATCTTACAAATGAAACTTTTGTAGTTGAAAATTGGGCCAAAACTGCCCCAGTTGCCCGGCTATGCCACCACAACTACTACACTTACCGCACTCGTTATTTTTAGCAGCGATGCATAAAAAATAAACCATCAATTTCAGTATGTATACAGTTTGACACATGTTGTATGCACTGCAGATGTTACATCCACAACAGGTTTTCCTGTTATTATTATAATTGCTTTATTGATCGCTGTATTTGCTATTACTCCATTGTGTAGAAAATTGCTTCAAGGTGCGTTTCCTTCTACCATTGATTAACCTGACAGATTACGTTAATCAATGCTTCTACCTTATTTGTACTTGAGATATCTAATATTTCCAATATTTTAGCAGATATTGGAAACAGAATATGATAATTGTTGGATACTTTTGAATATAAGTTGTATGTTTACGTATTTTCATGCATACTGTTTTAAAATACAGGGTCATATCATTTTGTAGGATGCCTTACATTTTTATGAATTCAATCATCTTTATTGATCAATCTAGCTATCCATTTCTCAATTCATACCAACCATTTTCACCTGTATCCATCATAATCATCATACACGTTATAAAAATGATCTCTTTGTTTATTCAGTTCATTCTCAGAAGGGCCTATTTGGAAATTATTTGAAAGTTTTACTGTAACCTGTAATTGTTTAGGTATTCTAATTTTTCTAAATGCATGTTAAGTTTCGTTGTCTGTGTTTTCATGCGTATTTTGTGTTAAATCCATCAATCGTATTGCTTCTTTAATATATACTAAGTGACATATAAATCCGAACACCCAGTTTAAATGGTTTTATTTTAATAAAAGTTGGTGAATGTATTTATCTTACTGTAAATAACAAGTGAAAAAATGTTCAGCCTTATCAGTTGGACATTGCGGTTTTTATACTGCTTTTTTTTAATTCACTAACGCTCTAAAAATAAATATTTCAGCCGCAGTAAAGAATCAACGTTGGCGGATTTTGGTTCTTGACATCCTTTACGATCGGTTACGATGCCTAGAGTACGGAGACCTGTACGATTTCGTCAACTTAGTGAGTTTGATAGGCACCGTATAGTGGGACTTCGACAAGCTGGACTTTCTTTTCGGGCAATTGCAGTTAGAGTGCAAAGAAGTGTAGACACTGTGGTTAGGTGTTGTCAGGCATGGCTTCGAGAAGGCCGTACGCAAAGAGCAAGGGGCACTGGACGCCGCCGTAGAACAACAGACCGTGAAGATCGCCGCCTAAGATTATTGGCCTTAAGGGACCGTTTCTCCACTACCAGGTCCATTGCAAATGATTGGTTTGCAGAACACGGAAGACCTTTTGGCATGCGAAGTGTTTACCGACGAATGAGAAGTTTTGGCTTGTTTTCATACCGGCCACACTGGGTCCTACCTTTAACTCGAGAACACCGACGTAATCGCCTTGAGTGGTGCAGACAACGGTCACTCTGGGATCAGGAATGGAACAGTATTGTCTTTAGTGACGAGTCTCGATTTTGTTTAGGCATGCACGATGGTCGTGCCAGGGTTAGAAGGCGACGTGGTGAAAGGAGGAATCCACAGTTTTTTGTTGAAAGACATGTTCATCACACTGTTGGAGTTATGGTTTGGGGTGCTATAGCTTATGGTTCCAGGTCACCTTTAATCTTCATCAGAGGTAACATGAACGCGCAGCGTTATATCCACGAAGTTCTAGAACCCCATCTTTTACCTTATATTGACACCCTGGCAGACCCAACTTTTCAACAAGATAATGCCCGACCACATGTTGCAAGAATCACAATAGACTTCTTTCAACATAATGATGTCACATTGTTACCATGGCCACCAACATCTCCCGACTTATCTCCAATTGAGCACGTGTGGGATATGATGGGTAGGAGATTGCTCAATATGCAACGTCCTCCTCAGACTCTAGAAGCACTTCAAGAGGAGTTGGTGGTTGCCTGGAATGCGATACCACAGGAGGACATTGACCACCTGATCAGAAGCATGCCTAGGCGCGTTGCAGAATGCATAGCACATCAGGGTGCATCCACACATTATTAAAGGTGAAAGGGCTTTAAAGCAGTGCAATCATTTTGAAATTTTTATCATTTACTTATTATGCTTCATTAAGTACTTATACAAAATTTTATTAAAATAAAACCATTTAAACTGGGTATTCGGATTTATATGTCACTTAGTATACATGTCATTTGTATATGTTTTTTGATATTTCACTTGTCATTCATATTTCGTTAAGGTTTGTTTTTGTCACTTATACAGGGTGATACAACGAAAAGGCGGCACCCACATTTGTAACTCTTCTGATATATTTTGGGAAAACGTTCAATTTTGATTTCTAGGGGAACGTCTTCTCACCTATAGCCGTACGATACGTTTTTAGTAACTTTTGTATAATAACTTAATTCGACTAACTTAATAATGATAATAATGGAATGCTCGGTAACAAATATAACCGATATCAGCAAGAACATTTAGTCAGTGTCATTGTATGTCATAGAAAAACTTTGTCTTTTATTTAAAATTTTTAAGTTACCTACCTAGTAGTGATAAGTATAGAACAATGAGTTATTCAATTCATGAAACGGTAGCATTGCAAGAGCTACTCCCCGGTTAATGCGTTACGTCCAGACAAAAATATTAACGATAAGTATGTCGGTAAGTTGATAAGAATATTTTAAGAAACTGGATCTGTGTCTAATATTCGCCGTAATCTCCATCGACAAAATCGACAAGTGAAATGAATCCTCAGAAATAGCAGTTTTGGGACACGTAGCACTTAACAACATTCAAAGCACTCGTGGACTGGCTACTTCTTCAGGATTTACACGCTCAACAGTACAAGATAATTCAAGATCTTCGACAGCGGATTACGTAGACAAATAACTCACGACATGCTTGAAAATGTGAGGAATAGATTTGAACAAAATCTTTATTATTGCATGGAGGTAAATGGACACCACTTTCAGAACTTATGACCACATTGACCTACCTCTTTATAGCACATTAGTTTTTACTTTAATGTTAATGTGCGTAAACTTATTGTTTTTTGTTTTTTTTATTACTAATTATTATTCTTACGATATAATCCCTTGTTAGCACAATTTCTGAAATTTTATTATAAACACAACGATTGAAGATAGATATAAACTTTATCATACAAAAGTTACTAAAAACTTCATGGAGGATCTAAATATAAAAAAAGAATAGGGGTTTCCATTTAAAAATCCAAAACGTAACGCAATATCTTATTTTTGGATCACCCTGTATTGTACGGCTATAGATGAAGAAACCTCATCCTAGAAATCAAAATTGACTTGTCTGAACGTTTGTCCCAAAATGTACTAGCAGAGCACAAATAGGGGTGCGACATTTTCGTAGCGTCACTCTGTATAGTTAATTTATAAAAATTGGGATAGTGGTTTCTTGCTACTCCATCTTGAATTAATCATAAAAGCAGTACCTGTGTACAAATTTTAATACAGACATAAAAAAATAATGTAAATACAGATAGTCAAGTGTTGAATGTTATTTGAAAATTTCAAGTCAAATGGTGTTTAGTGATTGAAACATCATTTCTATTTGTGTTTGACGAACTGTATCCTGCAACTAATTATACCATCACGATGACACTAGATTTTCCAATGGTATTTGATTACCATAAATGATTGCCGCCCCCTCATCGACGCTTGCGATGGTGTCAAGTGGAATCATAAATATCCAGTGGCGTCTGGAATTTGATTTATTGTTTTTCAGGTATTCAAAATCAGATTAAACAAACTGACCCAAAAAGTATTGCTAGTTCAAATTGGGTCTATTTATCTTGCTTTACTTTATAGCTTCTTAATTTTTTGTCGGAGGACAAAAAAAACAGCAAGTAGATTACCTCAGGAATGATTTAGTTTGAAGTTATCAAGTATCACAACAAAAAGTTACATCAAGTAGGCTGACTGAGGAACTTTTTAATTGTTTTTCGGAACAAACAAAAAAACGTCAAGTATATTGACTCAGAACTGATTTAGTTTGAAGTTATCACGTATCATAACAAAAAGTGCGATCAAGTAGGTTGACTGGGGAACTTATGGAAACCGGCACTATTTTATAAAATATGCGCTGTGCTAAATAACGGTAGTTTGTGTCAAAAAGTTAATCCACGAATTATAATAATAGGGGTAGAAGAAGATTCTGTTGGAGATGTCTTTTCTCGCCAGCTACTAGATCAAAACAATTTTGAAAGTGCTGGAGAAGATATACTAAATGACATAGAAACTGCAACACTGACTAGGAGTCCTGTAATTTTGAGCACTTTTTTACAAGTTTTAGGTACATTTTGCATTCCGAGATACCCTGTATAAATAGAAAGAAATCTTAGCACTTTTTCCAGAGCAGCTTAAAAGCGATGATAATAAAATTTTCAAGGACTATGATTTATTTAAATATCTTCAAAAATGGCGGAGTTGCGAGCCGTCAAAGCTGGA